CCTATTGTGCATCCTAGAGCTATAGAAAACATGACATACATAACTCTTAGAAGCATTAACAATCCTGTTGTGTCCTGGCAGCAGCTATTTGGATATCCTGAACTGTTTCTGGACAATCAGGCATTCATTTTTGATAGTTCTTGTTTTAATTTTTTAATTTTATTTCTAACATTGTTTACATAGTTGAGAATATGCCCATGTGGGACTCCAGTTAGGGTGGGATCCAGGTATGGAGGAAGGTGGGTGGGACCAATATTTCAGTTCTTTTCATTTTATTCTCCTGGTCTGGTATAAGGGAAGGAGAGGGAGCCATTCCTTGCTGTTAAACTACATCAGCACCGGGAATGGGGAACCCGATGTGGAGAAGAATGTTCTGAGAGTGTTGCTGGAGTGGCTTTGATAGTTCTGAGGCATTGTCAGCTTTGTGGTAACAGGATTGAGAAAATCTTTCCAAGGTCTATTTGCTGACCAAGTCCAGCTCAGTGTGCACCCATAGACTCAGGAACATGTTTCAAAGCTTGGCCAGAATTGTCCAACCTGTTCTGCTTTCTGTCCTCTTGACATGGCAGTCAATATCACCTGCTGGCCTCTGTGTGCATCTGGACATGCTGTCCACTACACAGTCTTCAGCAGTGAAGGAGGCCCAGTCCTGATACATGCACTCCAAGGTTGGACCACATATCCTTGATTTGACCTGTGCATGGGATTTGGGTCCAGTGAACTTGTTGGGGAGACCTCCAAGAAACATTGCCTGGGGTGAACTCAGTTCCATACCAGGCATGCACCTAGCCCTGGATCTTGTACTCACCTGTGGGAGCTGCTGCATATCAGGGAAGTCCCCTAAGTTCTCCTATCAGATCAGCTCCCAGCTACAGATCTTGTGAGTACTGGCAGTTATTGTCATCCATTCTGGCTCTCGCCAGTGTGTGCTGCCAGCCTAGCCCAGCCTGGCCCACACCCAGACCTGGCTCTCATGTGACCCACTGGGTGCCACAGCCTAGCCCAGTCTGTCCCACACCCATTCTGGCTATTACAAGTGCTAGCAGGTGCAGTCTGGCCTGCCCCCAGATCCAGCCCACATGAATGCCAATGGGTGCTGCAGCTGTGCCCAGCTCAGTTCAGTCACAAGTGGGAGTTGTGCCTAGCAGAGGAGTTCCCGAAGTTTCCCTACCAGGCCTGTTCCTAGCCCTGGATCTTGTGCATGTTGATGGATGCTTCAACCCAGCCTGGCATAGCCCACCAGCAGTCTCAGCTCTCATTGGCTAATGTTACAGCCTAGCCTATCCAAGCATAGCCCACATCCTGTCCTGGCTCTTATACATGCCAGCAGGGGCTGTGACCTGGCCCAGCCCAACCTGTCCCCAAACTTGGCCCACACAAATGCTGCAGCCCTGCTTGGTCTGACCTGCACCCTGCCCCAGATTTTGTGCTTCCCAGCAGGAGCTATGGCCTAGTAGGGAAGTTTCCTGCAGTGGGTGCTGCAGCCCTGCTTGCCATGGTCTGCCCTCAGTCCTGGCCTTTGCATGTGCCAGCAGGTGCTATAGCCTGGCCCATCCCAGCCTCCTCCCAGCCCTAGCTCCCGTGTTAGTGGGTTTCATGGTCTAGCCTGGCTCAGCCCATCACCATCCCCATATCTTATGCAAGTTTGTGGGTGCTTGAGTCCCACAGATGTGTGCCCACAAGTCCCCTACAGATTCTACCCTAGGTCTGGTTCTCTTGCATTCTGGTAGGTGCTGCAGCACAGCCTGACATGGTCCACTCCTTACCCCAACACTTGAGAGTATGTACTGCAGCCAAGCCCAGCCAGGTATATCCCTTAGTCCCAGCTTTTTGTGTGCCAGTGGATGATGCTACTTAGCTAAGTCCAGGTCTCCTAAGGGTGTGTGTAACTTGGCCTGACTTAGTCATGCCCTCTGGTTTCCACCCTCTAAACCATATGGTTTCATCTCCCTCACTTACCTATTAGTGCAGTGACCCAGTTTGTGGAATCCTCTGTAAGTCATTCCTCCCCATCAGACGTGCCCTTAGCTGATCCCACTCTTAACATACCCCTAGACCCCTCTTCCCCAGGCAATCTGCAGCCCCCCACCTGGGAACCAGGGTGGTATGTCCTAGCCTGCCATTTCTGCCTTCCCTACACATCTTAAAAAACATTTTTTCAATAGTTCTGACTCTTCTTTAAACCTGCACACTGTAACCTGTTTCTTGAGAGGGAAGATTTAAGTTTAAAATATCCAGTGGAGTACTTAGCTCAGCGGTTAAGCTGCTGCTTAAGGGGCCCACATCCCATATTGGAGTTCTTGGCTGAAGTCCCAAACATTTCGGATTCAACTTCCTTCTCAGTTGCACCCTGGGAAGCAGCACATGAACGCTCATGTGGGAGTCGCAGATTTAATTCCAGGCCCCTGGTTTTGGCTTGGCTCAACTGTGACTGTTGAAGGCATTTGGGTAGATAACCACCACATGGAAGCTAACCCTCCATATGTCTATATACTTTTCAGGTAAAAATAAATACATTTTAAATATTTAACATGGTAGACATGTGAGCTAGTGGTTAAGACATTGGCTGAAACACCCATCTCCCTAATTGATGTAGCTGTGTTTGAACCTCTGCTGCGACTCACGACTCAGCTTGCTAATGCAGACCTAGGGAGGCAGCAGCTGATGGCTCAAATGGCTGCCTTCCTGCCACTAATATAGGTTAAGTTTGCAGCTCCTGGCTTCAGCTTCCTCACTGCTGTCGGCATTTGAGGAGTCAACCAGCAAATGGGAACCTCTCTCTGCCTCTGCTTCTCTCATAAATATCTGTTGCTCCTTGTCATTAAAACTGAAGAACACTTTGGCAGGATTGACTTAACCTTTTAAAATGCCATTAACTGGAGAGGGGGGAAACTGAAAGTCTGTAAACTGATCTTAGCACCTCAGCATGACTTAATCAGAATACCTTCCCATCAGATTGTTTCAAGATGAACAATCAAATTTGAGATGTGTTTGCCTTGAGGCACAGATCTCATTTTAAACCAATAAAACTTTTTGTCACACTACCATGTAAAATTATAGAATCATATGAATTAGAGAAGGGTTCATAAAAATTAGCAATTTCCAAATATTGATTTGAATTTAAAATTTGAATTGTGACTTAGAACATGCTGCTATGGGTTTTCTAATTCTAACATGTTTTGATTTTTCACTTAGTATACATCAGGATGATGAGATTCAGGAAGTCTGGAAAAGGGCCCACAAATTTGTATGCAAATTAGCTAATGCCACTAGCTTAGGAGCACCAATTGCAAACTAGTGGACTATATGTACTTCCTTGACCTTTTGAGCAAATAATTTATCTTCAAAAGTTCCAATTTCACATCATTTATAATATACTCTCTTATATATATATAAGTAAACAAAGATCAGAGTCAAATGCTTACTAGTAATCACATAGCTAATAAGTGATCAGAACTTAGATACATGTTTGATACAAGCTCTTAGTAAATCCTGCCTTAGTAAATCCTGTATATTCCTAGTCCAGTTCTTATTGAAATGATTGGTTTTTAAAAAGAGTAAATACTTCTCAAATCTCCTTGCCTCTCTTTCTTTTCCTTATCTTTCTGGCTTCTCTTTCCCTTTTCAAAAATAAGAAAATAAATACTTTAGGTGATTACTGTTAGTCATATAAACCTTCAAATAAATCAAATCTTTTCATAGTTTAATTTTTTATATTTTAACAAGAGGTATGAAATAATATGGGCATTGCTATGTTGTATTGTTAAAGGTCCTTCTTAGTCTAATTATCTCACTGTAATATCAGTAACCCATTTTAGACAGTTTTTCTGATCTATAAAGTTGCAGAATAGATTTTAATGAGCCCTATAGAGATATTCTATAATTTAAGATGTTTTTTTAACCTTTCATTTGTCCTACAGTCCTTTCCCATGTAGAAGCCCCTATATTAAATGTACAATCATAATGAAACCCACAATATTACTGATCTTTTTGGACACCAAAGTAATTCCCAGTGGTTGTACTTCAGCCCATTTACATTCCAGATATAATAAAATATTTGTTTAGAACTTCTCTAAATAGGGATAATGATGAAAAGTTACCAAGTTAGAGGCTAAAGACAATTGTAATTCCATTTCACAAATGTCTGGTCCTTATATTACAGGCACGGCAGAGTTCTACAAGGAATAGTGTCTCCCAGTATAACCGGCTGGATCAGTATGAAATCAGAAGTCTGTTGATGTGCTACTTATACATAGTAAAAATGATATCTGAAGGTGAGTTTATAGACTATTCCAACATTGATTATTGTAGCTACTCAGAGATTCATACAAGTATTTGACCATTTTCTGTAAATAGAAAACATGTATCTTAGAAACAGGTCTTTGAATACTGACTGTACAACCTTCCTTAAAATGAATCCTAGAGCATTCTGAGGTTAAAGCCTCTGCTTGAGACATTAGCACCACCCACTTGAGTGCTGTTAAGTCCAGCTGTTCCACTTTTAATCCAGCTTCCTCCTAAAATACTGAGGAAGGCAACAAATGATGACCAAAGTATGTGGCTCCCTGCCACTGCTATAGGAAAAACTCAAGGAAATCTGGGCTCCTGGTTTCAGCCTGCCCCAGCCCTAGTCATTTAGTGAATCAACTAGTGGGTGGAAGATCTTTCTTTTTCTTCCTCTCTCTCTGTATAGAGATATGCCTTTCAAATAAGAAACTTTCAGAAAATAAACCTGAAGATAGGATCATATCATATCAGTGTGTGCAGGTTTGATTCGTCAAAATAATTTTTAAAAATTTTAAGAATTCATTTCTGAGATAAAGGAATAACCTTATATTTATTTTTATGCATAGAACTTATTCAACAACCCATGAGAAGGACATAATAATAACCAGATTTCATATTTAAAACGTTAGCTTTACATGACCCAGGATTTAGAAAGCATAAGCAGAAAGACAGGAACTGTTCGCAAGTGGTCGGGAATGCATCGTTGCCTTTGCGCCATCACTCCACTGTACCATCTGGTATCATGTTCGGTTCTTCTTATACCATGGATGCAGCACGCCTGGAAGTAAAATCAGACTGCTTATTCTCAAATACCACATTTACTTAAAATGATCCCCCCAACCTTTCCTTCCTTTTATTTACATTTTTGCTCAAAAATAGATATAAGAATGAAGATTGTTAAAAATTTAATGAAAAATAAGTATACCTATGTTCTTGCCACTGAAGTCATGGTTTTATCCATTTTCTGTTCTTGCTTCATTTAATACTGAAGGATATAGATAATAAAACTAGTTAAGAATCAAAAGATATTAAAATCTAAGATACATCAATGAAACATTCAAACTTAATATAAAACCTTTAAGTTCTGGGAAGATGCAATGTAAACTGTCATATATTATGGGGCTGCATTGTGGTGCAGTGGGTTAAGTTGCTGTGTGCACTGGTGTCCCAACAAACATACTGGAGTTCTTGCCACTAAAGTCATGTTTTTATCTATTTGGTTTTATCTGTTTGCTATTTTAAAATAAACATTACCTGCTTTATTTAACAATGAGGGATACAGATAATAGAATTAGTAGCTAATTAGCTAAAAAATAGATATTAAATAAACTAAGATACATTAATGAAACATTTAAACAATGTAAAATCTTTAAGTTCTCTGAAGAAAGATACAATGTAAATTTAGTTAAATATTAGGGGGCTGGCACTGTGGTGCACTGGGTTAAGTTGCTCTCTGCACTGGTGTCCCAAATATACATACCTGAGTTCTTGTCATCGAAGTCATTGTTTTATCCATTTTCTATTCTTCTTCTTTTTAGCAAATATTACTTGCTTTAACTATTTAATAATGAAGAAATAGATAATAAAATTAGTAGCTAATTAATTAAATTACTAGGTATTAAGCTAAGCTACATTCGTTAAACCTTTAAACTTACTATGAAATCTGTAAGTTCTAGGAAGATACAATGTAAACTGAAAATCAGATATTATGGAACTAACATTGTAGCACAGTAGGTTATGTTGCTGTCTTCCCTGGTGTCCCATATGGGCTCCAGTTTGAATTCCAGCTACTCTACTTCCAATATTGATGCATCTGGAAAAGCAGTGGAAGATGGTCCAAGTACTTGAGCCCCTGCCACCCGTGTCAAAGACCCTGGAGTTCCTGGCTCCTGGCTTCTTTCTGGCCTGACCCCAGCCGTTGCAATCATTTAGAGAGTAAACCAAGAGATGGAATATCTTTTTATTTCTCTCTGTGTAACTCTTTTAAACGAATCTTTTAAAAATTGATATTGAAGCGATGTGGTAAATTTTACCGTTTCACACACACACAAAAAATAGTAAAAGGAGAGAAGTTTCATTCTAGAATGAATCATTTAACAAGTGTAGCCACAATTAACAAGGCTAAAACTGAAACAATGTAGGAATTGATGGCAATGTTTATGAGGTTTTTTTTTTTTTAAGATTTATTTTTTTTTGTTTGAAAGTCAGTTTTTACAGAGAGAAAGATCTTCCATCTGCTCTTTACTCCCTGAGTGACCACAACGGCTGGAGCTGAGCCGATCTGAAACCAGGAGCCTGGAGCCTCTTCTGGGTCTCCTACACAGGTGCAGTGTACCAAGCTTTTGGGCTGTGCTCTACTGCTTTCCCAGGCCACAAGCAGGGAGCTGGATGGGAAGTGGAACCGCTGGGAACACAAACCAGTGCCCATCTGGGATCCCAGGCGTGCAAGGTGAAGACTTTAGACACTAGACTATTGTGCCAGACCCTTATGAGGTATTCTTAAGGCAAGGGAGTTATTATCAAAAAATTCCATCAAAGTTTTGATGGTTTTACAATTATTTTGTAAATATATTATAGAATAATAAAAGTATAATTTACAAAGTATGCAAAATTGTATTGTGCATTTTAAATGAGTTACTTTACGGTATTAAAAAAATCAGTGAGTCTAATTTAAAAAAAAAAAACTCCCCAAAAAAGAGAACAGGGAAAAAGGAGCTGAAAAATAAAAGTGTTTGAATAAAACTATAGCCAAAATAATAATAAGATAATAATAATAATAATAATAATATAGAGAAGACAAATAGCAAAGGAAGAAAAAGAGAGATACATTCATGATTTTCACTCCTCCACTTCAGTACATACATACACACACACACACACACACACATATGCATGTATGCTTGTACATACAGTACTCACCAGTGACAAGTCTCTGGCTGCAATGTTTAACCTGATAGGTTAAACCATAACTGCTGCATTTCTTGAAGACTTCATAGTTGTTCTTATAGATGTTTGCTTGCTCAGTAACAGAACCCTGCCTAGTATTTGATCTGTCTTCTGCTCTTGCTTTTTCAAAAGTCATGTTTTTGATAAATAATACAGTCTGGGTCATATGTCATTTTATCTTTTTAAAATATTGTCACACTAGGTATCTGTAAAGTCATACTGGTTTTATTCTGAAAACTGCTTTTGAACCCTTCTAAATGGATGCTTTCGGGTTAGATTGTCTGATAAATATTGCTTTAATTCATCTATGTACATATGAGTTGAAGTTCTCAAAGTTCATTCCTTTTGCCTTTTAGTTGTCATGTCCAGTAAATATTATATTTTAGTTATTCTTATGCATATTGCAATATTACGTTCTTACTAGTCCACAGCCTTTTTGGTTTTCTCTCGGCTTTCTTAAAAATTGAATCATTACATCAGTAACTTCAGTGTCAACAGAACTGATGGTCTATCTGCACACTTTTATATGGAAATATAAGGATTCTAACAAATACTAACAAATAAAGTTCACCTATTTATAACTACATTTTATCAATAATTTGTTTCAGAGTTTTACAGTCATCTGCCAAACATTTTTTTCAAGTTTTCATGCCATGTTTTTCTAGATCTTGAAAAAAGGGATCAGTCTGAGTTGATAGGAAGACTGTCCTTTTCAAAAAACAATAGCATTTTCCTTTGGAGCTGAAGGAACCTACCTTCGCTTCCTTTTTGGAAATGCTCTCTTTCTCTTTATTGTACTGCCAGGAAACAGACTTTCATAGTCTTCTTGAGGGTTACTAACACTATAACCTAAATATGAAGGTTGTTCGGCACTCAAGGCAGCTTCCTCCTTAGAAGGCTTCTGGCTACTGCGATCTCTCACTGCAGATCCAATATTGTAATTAGGAAGACTAGATAACCTTTTTTCCCCAGATTTCCCAGTATTATCAACAAGAGATGGAGAGTGTGTGTTCTTTCTCATGGCAGTTGAAAGTGGGCTTTTGTTATAACCAGGCATGTTTTCTTCTGAGGTTTCAGATACTATGTCACTAGGTAAATTATCTCCTGAGATACTAGAAAGACTCCATGAAAAGTCTTTTGGAGTATCATGCTGCAGTGTAGAGACCTTTGGTATTTTGGTTTTAGTTTCCTTTTTAAGCTGTTTAGGCTTATCTCCAGGAGAAGTGGCCACACCTGGAAATCTATCCCCCTTCTGAGGACCAGGTTTGGTTGTTGAGGAAAAACGTGAACATGACTTTTGATTGGGAGAGCCTCCAGGGACAGGCATATTCGTGTTAGAGGAAGTTTCCTCCATGGAGGTCTCGGGTACTTCAAAGAGATCCTGACTATGAAATGGAATTGGAAAATCTGGACTGTTATGCTGTTGTTTTTGACCGACCGATTTTGGTTTGTCGGGATGGTCTGTGACAGGTTTTGGCTTGTCAGGATGGTCTGTGACAGGTTTTGGCTTGTCAGGATGGTCTGTGACAGGTTTTAGCTTGTCAGAACAGACTATGACAGATTTTGGCTTCTCAGAATGTATCAGCCTTCTACGCCTCAGAGGCAATTGAATCTTAGCTCCTTCTGGAGGCTCTTTCATTATAAAGACTGGAATATTCTTTTGGGTACAAGGAAAGACATCCTCCTGCTCATCGCTATCAGAAAATGTGATTTGATACTGTTGCTGGTTTAGTTTCAGCTTTTCAACGAGCCTTTTATTTTCTTCTATTAACTTCTCTTTTTCTGCAGTGAGAGCAGCGACACATTTACGATTACTCTCCTGTATCTCAGTCAGCTCTTGCTGGAGCTTACTGCTAAGTGCTTCATTGACTGAACAGTTGATACAAACTTTCGAGTTCAACTGCTGTCGTAACTCAACAATAACATCGCAAAGAACTTTCTGCTGTTCGTAAAATTCTTTCTCTTTGATTTTCTTGCTAGCCTTCCTTGCTGCCAACCTCTCTTTCCTAAGTCGTCTCACTTTTGCCTTTAAACGGTAAACTTCTCCCTCATGGAGATCTTTCAGCAGTACCCATGCATTTTTAAACTCGTCCGAAGACAAGTCACATTCGCTAGACTGTGATTTATCTTCTTCAGATCTCGCATCGTCTTCCCAGTCTCCCCTACCCGTGCTGCCTGCCTGCATCATGGCTCGGTGATTTCGAAGCGCTTGAGATGGGCTAGGCGCTCGGCAGAACCGTTACCAAGATGGCGGCTGACTAGAGTTCGCCACTCCCCTGAGGAGCCCCTTCACCCCCACACAGACCTTCTCCTACGCTGCTTTGGTCACCGAGCTGGGAAGGGGGGCAGCGGGATGGCTAATCTCAGCTTTTTGGCCACTAGCTTCTCTCTGGGAGAGGGAAGCCCTCGCCGCCGTCGAGGTCGTCACGTCAGTGCTTTGGCCTGACGCCGGTAACGGCGGCGTCAAGCAGCGGCGTTCTGAGAGGAACGCGACCAGAAACGCAGGGACTTCTGGGAAAATGGCCTTTCCCATTTGAGCAGCTGGGCAAGGTGGGGGAGGGGGGAGGGTAGAAGTCACTGCTATTGTTTTTCTGGAAGCAAGCTTGAGTGTATTTTAATGTTTGTATTCTTGATCAATAGTTTGAAATCCTTAAAGCCTCTTAGTGTTCATGGTTTTCAGTGACCAGCAGGCAAGCCAAAACCTCCACGCTTTGTATACCCTTCACCTTCCGTAAAGTCCAAATGGTCTCGTCCTATGACTTCCGAATAGCTGGAGCTTGTTTGAAAATTTACCCTATGATGGTGTCCACAAAAGTGTTACAGTTTCAAGGAGAGTCTGTGATACTGTTAACTAAGTCCAAATAGAATTTAAAAAAAAAAAAAAAAGGAAAGGAATGGGAGGGAGACATTTTGATAGCTTTATTTTTTTTAGTAAATAAATCTCGGGTTTGGCTATTGACCAGAGGTTACAATACTGCTTGGGATGCCCCCTTCTGTATTTTATCAAACTCCCCCCTTGTCTCCACATCCCAACTGCTGTGGTTGCTCCAGGTTCATGGTGATCATAACTACTGGCTTCGGTCTGACTTAGCCAGATCTGAGGATTTGGGGAGTAGCTGGCACATGAGCAAAACAGCTGTCTGTGACTCATTCTCTACTTCTTTAAGGCTCAGAATAGGAGGTGAGGTATAACAAGGCATTGCAAATGAAGCCTTTGCCTGTAGGGCCGGCATCTCATATGGGCACCAATTTGTGTCCCGGCTGCTCCACTTCGTATCTAGCTCTCTACCAATATGCCTGGGAGAGGAGTGGGGTTGAATCAAGTGCTTGGAGCTCTACCACCTGAGTCCTGGCTTTCTGAGCAGCCCAGCTCCAATCATTGTGGGCATTTGAGAATAAACCAGCGAACAGCAGATGGAAGATAGATTCTCTTTCTCTTCCTTTCCCTCTTTAACTGTTTCAAATAAATAAATCTAAAAGCAAACAAAGAAAAAACCAACAAATAAAAAAACAAAGAAAACCTCAATGACTGTGTGTATGGTAGGAGAATAAAGAAATGGGTGAAAAGTTTAGATGATGGATTTGAGATTGTTGAATCTGTGAAAACTTA